CCTTCCACTCCCTGTCCTCCGCGGGGGCCAGAGGCCAAATGCCCGCTGTCTGGGGTCTGCCCAGTCTATGATCCATCTGAGATTGATGGCTGTGACCTGGGAGTGGGGGTCATGCATCCCCCAGCAAGCCTGTCTGCACTAAATGCTCCACGTGCAATAACCCTTTAGGGCAGATTGGTGCCTGCTGAGCTCCCACTGGATGAGGGAATAGCCACCACCACTACACAGGGAACCCACCTCGGCCACAGAACCCCATGGGCGAGGACCAGGGCCCGACGGGAACTGATCCCTCCCTGGGGTCTGCATGCTCCTTGCTCTGGCATGCGGTCACTAGAGAGCTCGGCTCAGCTCTTGCAGCCAAAGAGGCCAGTGGCCAGTTGGGCCAGGCCAGCACTGAGGACATGGAGCAGCCAGGAGCCAGCAGGCGTCCCAGGTGTGGCTGAGAAGCAGTCAAGCATGCAAGCCGGGCAGGGGAACACAGATGAGCTTGGAGGCAGCAGTGTGGACACCAGACAGGCTGGCTGGCAACCCTTCCTCCCTCCCGCTGGCACCTGGCACCCACCCTAGCTTCCCATGCCCACCCTGTGGTGGACCCCAGCGGGCTTGGCACCGCCTGCAGTGTCCACCTTTTCCTGTGGCAGTGGCAGAGGGACGGAGATCAGGCCAGTCCACAGCCCCGTGCAGTGGCCGGCAGAAGCAGGGGGGCTAAGGCATGCGGGGCGGGGGCAGGTACCTGGGCTGGGGAAAGTGCCTGGAAAGACAAGGAGACGATCTGAGCTGGCCACAGTGGGCAGGGCCAGGAGACTCCACACGGGGCGGGCGGGGCGGGGGATGCTTAGCAGCCCCTCCTGCAGAAAGCCCTCTTTGCTCCCAAGCTGGGTGGGGTTTTCCTAAGACCTTCTCTCTGTCTTGGATGGCTTTGCTTGCTCCTCCTTTGGCATGAGAACTCATGGAGGTGAGCCTGCCCTACAGTGATCGAGCTCGGAACTGGGTCTCATTCATCACCTGTGTCTCCTGGGAAGGGACCTCTGCCTCTTGCTGCAGCTGCCCTCCCCGCCTGGGCCCTTCCTCTGAGGGCAAGAAGAACAAGCAGGCAGAGCTATTCAGTGAGGCTGGGGCTGGGGGGCCAAAGGGAGCGTGGCCACATGGTGGGCTCCAGGGTGCAGCCACTGAGCTGCTGCCTGGGTGCTGGCTGCATAGCACGGCTCAAGTGCCGGGGAGACCCAGGCTCGGGCCAGTAGTGGCTGGGTCTCGGAGCTGCCGCAGGCTGGTCCTCTGGTCCCCTGCCACCCTCAGGGACCTCAGGGACAGGCGCACAGGGAGCTGGGGCAGGTGGAAAGGACCGGGGTGGCACACAGGTACCGACCAGCCACCGCCACCGCCACTGGGAGTGCCTTACTCCTGCGTTTCCTCTCCAGGCGCCGCTGCCGCTTCTCCTCCCGCCGCCGTGCCTCCTCGGCCTCCTGGTGCTGCCGGCACTTGTGGAAGTTCTCCACCACGACACCCACGAACATGTTGAGCACAAAGAAGCTGACGATGAGCAGGAAGGAGATGAAGTAGAGCAGCATCCAAGGGTTGTGGTTGGGCACTGGCTGCAGCACAGGAGTGGTGCGTGGGTGCCTGCCGGCCGGGGCGCCCCTCCCAGGCACAGCCTCGCCTGCAGGGGAGCTCTAGCCCACGATGAGGAACTCTGGAAGTCCTCAGAGGCCAAAGGCGGCCTCTTGGCAGAGGTTCCCTAAGATGACCAGAGGATACAGGAAGAACGGTCCACTAGGAGGCCCAGGGCTACCCACTGCCCACCGCACCTGCTGGTCTATGCCCACGGCATCCAGCCCGTCGTACATGATGTTCACCCAGCCGTCCTTGGACGAGAGCACGAACAGGGACATGAGCGCCTGCCAGGCCAGAGCAAGGTGGTGACTGCTGGGCGTGTGGGCACGGGCTCCCCCAAAGGACCACACCCCCGACCACAGCCTCACTCACAACACACCAAGGTCCTGCCACTCCTGCCTTTCAGACGAGGGCGAAGCTAGCTGAGACCACTCCCACCAAGCCTGCCCCGACCCTGACCCCTCCCCAGCCCCCAGCCCCCAGTCCCACGTACCTGGCCCAGGTTGTCAAAGTTATACTTGCGCCGCACCCAGCGGTAGCGAGCTGCCCGGCACTCGGCCTTAGTGGAGATGTTCCTGGTGTCGGCACCGTCGCAGTAGTAAAACTTCCCTTTGAAGAGCTGAGCAAGGCAAGGAGGGCACTCGAGGGTCATGCACTGCAACCCCACCTTCCAGATCCGCCCACCTGGGGCACCTGGAGCAGCCAGGCAGAGATTAGGGTTTCTCTCCCTGTCGGCTGGGGCCTTGGCCCTCCCGGGACTGCTATGCTGTTGCTGACCACCAACCACCATCCTGTGGAGGGACACCCAGGTAAGCAGGGCCACGAACCTGCACCCCCAGGATGCCAAAGATGATGAAGAAGGCACAGCAGATGAGGACAATGTTTCCAATGGGCCTGAGCGATGATATCAGAGTCTCAACCACCAGCTTGAGGCCCGGAGCGCGGCTGATGACCCTGGGCGAGGGGCAGAGGGAATGCGCTGTGTGACCCACCCAAGGGAGCAGCCACCAGGACAGGGCCTAGTGCTGCTAAGACCCCAACCCAAGCTGGCCCCAGTCCCAATCTCCCCTGGACTCCACTTGCCCCACCATCTGGATCCACCCCATCCTGTCCTGGACCCCACCTCCACCCCAGCCCCACCCCCCCATCTGGATCCACCCCACCCTATGTCCCTTCCCTGGTCCCACCCCATCCTGCCCCACCATGCCCATCTAGCCCTACCCCACCCTGCCTTGGCTCCGTCCCACCAGCCCCACCCACCTCAGGGGCCGAAGTGTCCGCAGCAGGCGCAGCACACGCAGGATGCCCAGGATCTTGGCACCACCGGCTGAGGCCATGGCCACGACGATGTCGACCAGGGACACCAGGACCAGCAGCCCATCCAGCACGTTCCAGCTGCTCTGCAGATAGGCGTGCTCGCCAGAGACCAGGCCCAGGGCCACTACCTGACAGGCGCAGAGGAGAGGCCCAGTGGAAGGTGGGCTGGTGAGCTGAACAGAGGCCTGGGACTGGGCCTTAAGGCCAGAAGGACAGACTCCCGGCCCCCCTGGACATGCTGTACCTTCACCATCATCTCAGCCACGAAGATCGCTGTGAAAATGTAGTTGGAGACACTGAGGAAGACGCGCTCCTGCAGGAGACAGGAGTGTGGGAGGGGCCTGCCACGGCTGCGAGACCCCACCCCTCCCGGACAAGAAGGGCGCCTCACGGTGCTGCCAGGGTCGATGTCTGGCCTTTCCAGGGCGATCGTGATGCAGTTAAGAAAGATGAAGACGAGGACAACATGATCAAACATCTTGTGAGCGATGATCTTCTGGCATGAGATGCGGAACCTGGGGGCCAAGGGTAGGGGGTTAGGGAAGCCCTGGCCAAGCCCTGGCTTCCCAGTCCCTGTGACTCCAGAGGAGGCATGCTAGGCGCTCACCGAGTGGTGGGGACACAGGGGCCCCCTGTCAGGCACAGCCCTCACCTGTTCTGGGGGGAGAAGAGATACAGGGCCCAGGGCTCTCGGCTCCGACAGCACTCGGGCTTGTAGGGCTCCAGCACTTTCTGCAGCCGGGAGCAGCAGCTCTGAGGAGGCAGGGGTTGGGTCCTCAGGGCCCCTCCCAGTCTGGTCAGCCCCCAGCCTCTCCTGCCCTCAGGCCCAGCCCTGTCCACCCACCCAGGTACTGGGTGAGGGACCCATGCTGGGAGTCCGTGGAGGCTAGGTGAGTGCCCCTCTCAGATTGAGCCCTCAGCTGGAGCTGGGGCTGACACAGGGATGAATCCCACTCCAGAGCTCCTGGGGGTTCAGCTGAGGCTACATCAGCTGGATCAGGTCCTGTCCAGTTTGTTCTGCTTCCCTCTCCCTTCTGAGGGCCCTCTGTGAGCACCACACCCCAAGTCACACCTTGGGGAACCAGCCCATGGCCAGAGGGAAGCAAGGGGCCAAACCAACTCCCCACAACTAGACTGTGATGCAGTACCCCCCAACTCACATCCTCCACGTCATCATCAAACTCAGCCAGGTCCTCCTTGTGGCTGTCGATGCGCAGGAAGAATTCGCTGGGCAGGGCTAGCACCTGCCCATTGCAGTCGTGAAACTTAGTGGGCAGCAGGGTGGCCGGCCGTGGGGGCTGTAGGTCCAGTGTGCTGCGGTGGTCCAGGGACTCGGCACGCCGCAGTGGCGTGGCACGTGTGCCTGGTGAGGCCCCTGCCCCGGGCCTGCCGTCCTCAGCCTCCTCGTCTGTGCTGCCGCTGCCCTTGCCCTCGCCAGACAGCAGCGACTCACGCTCCCCACGCTGGCTCCGGCGCTTGAGGCTGGGCGCACGGCCCAGGCTGTTCCAGCTCGAGCGCCGGCTGCTCCAGGCGCTGTTGGGGCCCCAGTGGGTGCAGGGCGAGCTGCGCAGGCTGGACTGTGGGGAGGGAGCAAGAGTGAGCAGGCTAGGTCCCCCAAGTACCCCAAACATCGAGCCTCAGGGGTACCCAGCAAAGGGGCCTTTCCTATCCAGTGGTGCCACCATTAACACCTGTAGGTGACATCTGTACATAGATCATCTTTCAGGAGCAGACAGCCCTGCTCAGGGGATGCTGGCAGCACTGCATCTTCAGTGAGACTCCTCCAGCACATAGTGGGGTCGACAATGAACTGGAGACAAAGCCAGCCAGTGTGAGAGCACTAAGCAGGCCCCACAGGGCTGCTCGCGGACCAGAGGGTGGGCAAGGGTCATCAAAGGGTCCAGGACCAGCTACGGACCAGGCATCCAAAGATGCCACTGAGATGCTGACCATGATCTCTCAAGTAGGGCCTCAAATCAGCTTCTCATTGGCATACTCTGGACTTGCAAAGAGAAGCTGGGCCATGACCTCAAGAAGTAAACTGGACTGTGACGCAGGGATTTCACCTGTGCTGCACCCATCCCCACTGCCCTCCGTCATTTTTACCTCCTGGGTCTAGCAGGAGCTGAGCTGGAATCCCCACTCAACAGCCCATCCTCTGCCCTTCAGCTCCTAGCAGCTTGGCTGTGATGCATCTTGTTGCTAAATCACTCTGCCCATCCAAGGCTCAGCCGTGAAGCTTTTCCCTTACTGACACACACGATCAATCGGTCTTGATAGTTTGCCCATACTTCCTCCGGGCTCATATCCCCTCCCCCCTCATTAGCTCATCCTGCTCAGCCCACCCCTCTGGGGCTCTTCAGAGAAGCTGGTTTTGGCTGTGTCTGCTGGGGGCGGTGTTTCCTGGGTTTATCTGGAAAGACTTCAGGGGTTCCAGCTCCACAGGGCGCTGTGGATCGTGACGCATGGAACCCTCCACCCAGCTTCCAAAAACTGTTGTGTATATTCAGTTTTTATACCTTTTTGCCATCCGTTCTCTATTTATCCTTCTCATGTACGCTCTGTACCCTGACAGCTTTTATCTTTGATTACAAATTTGGAAGATAAACTTCCAGCCCAACGTTCTACTTGCCCGTTCGTACTCCTTAGAACAGCAGCTTCTGGCTCCATTTACAGAAAACAAGGCACTCGGGGCCAGAGATTCATGGTGTATGACTGTGGGGCATGTGGGACCCTCAATCATCTCTGGGGAAGGCCCTGGGGAACTGAGCAGGTGGAGCCTGAAAGTGCCCAGAGGCCGAGGAGGGGAGGATCCCTACCAGAGACTTCTGGTCCCCTAGCTGGGGGTCCACGGAACTGCTGCTGCCACGCCGAGAGTCCAGGAGACCGTGGGCTGCGTCCAGGTGTGGGGAGCTCTTAGGGGTGGGCATGGGTGTGGCTGCCGTGCGCATGATGACGGGAGGGGGCAGGCTGCCCCGGCCCTCCAGGTGCCCGTTGGGGGTCACCGCCAGTGAGTACATCTTCATCTCTGGAGGGGAGGAGGTCACTCAAGGCTGCAGAGCTCCCAGGAAGGAGAGTCTGCGCACCCAGGACTCACCCGCAGGACTCCAGCTGCACCTGGACCAGGTGGGCGGCATCCCCTCCAGCCCTGCCCCGCCCTCAGCCGCAGGCACACCTGTGGCCCTGAGGCCTCTGAACTTGTCCAGATCCTCCTCCACATGGGTAGATGTCTTGTCTTCATCTGTGTCAGACCTGTTGGCGTCACCCTGTGCCCATGGAGCAGATGGTACATGTGAGGCTTCCCTTGGAGGCTGGGGGCGGGTGGGGATGGAAGGGCCCAACAGGTAGAGAACCGAGGCCTCTTCACGTCGGTCCGGGCAGGACTCCTGCACAACATGCCTGGCTCCCACTGCCTCCCCCTGGAAGCCTCCCTCACCTCATGCCCCTCACCTCGGCCTGGAAACCCTCCACCAGGATGGCCACCAGCAGGTTGAAGAGCACGTAGTTGCCAAAGGTCATGAGAGCCACGAAGTAGAGGGCGGCCCAGGAGGAGGTGGAGGCCATGCCGTTGTAGAGAACCACGTTCCAGTCCTCCTGGGTGAGGATCTGGGGGAGGAGGGGCAGCCAAGCAGCTCAGGCTCAACATGGGGGCCAATGGGGCACCAGGATGGTGGGCATGGCTGTGGAAATGCTGACAGGCCCTTAGGACCAGAGAGAGCGCTGGACAAGCGAGACCAAGTCCACCTCCCTGGGGCCCAGTCAGTATCCCTGCCACCATCCCCAGCTCTTCACCTGTGCTGGCCTCAAAGGGGCCTCGGTCAGCTCTGGGGTTGCTCTGAGCAGGGCTGTGGCCCTCCAGGGACCATTTACATCAGGGGATGGTCCTACCAGGTTTTACCTGGAACACGGTGACAATGGCCCACAGCAAGGAATCAAAGTTCTTCCTGTCAGGGACCGTGTCTCCGGTGTCCGTCTTCAGGCTGAATTTGCAGCCAAATAGGTGCATACCGAGGATGCTGAGGACGGGAGGCAGGGATGCAGTGGGGGTGGGGGTGGGGTGCAGGAGGGGGGAAGGAGAGTGCTCTGCCTGGTCACCTCCACACCCAGCAGCTGCTCCTCTACACCTCCCCCACCAGGCCCCTAGCTTTCTGGTTCACAGGGCCCTCCCATTGTACAGGTGGGAAGACCAAGGCTAGGGGCAGAAGAAACAACCAGAGGCTCTGGCTTCTGGCAGTGGCCAGGACCGGGACTGTCTCTGCCCCAGCCACTTCCCCGAGGCCTGAGCCCCAGTCCAGGATGGGCCGCGGCAGGGGCTCAGCAAACATCAATTAAAATCAAGGAACTCCAGCCCAGCTGCCCTGCCATTCCTCTGCATCCCATTATTCTTGCCTTTTCTTTAGGCGAAGTCCCCAATCCATCCAGCTAGGAGCCTGACCCATCCCCTCCTCAGCTGTGAGCCCACGAGAGCAGAGCCCAGCATCAGTGCTGTTAGAAGGAACTAGCAACTGAGTTTCTGCTGCCACTTGGAGGCTCCCGGGTCTGATGCCAGAAGCACAGGGCTGGTGTGGTGGGAGAGGCCTTCTCTCTGGGGCAGGCACATGTGCTGAGCCCCAGGCCTTGCCCTCACAGCCAGGCTCGGGGTGGGATGACCCCTCAGCGGGCACCCACCTGAAGATGAAGATAAAGAGCATGAGCAGCATGCAGAAGGTGGCCACGTTGTCCATGGTCTTCATGAGCACCACCAGCTGGCGCCGCAGCGCGGGCATGAAGCGTACCAGCTTCAGCACCCGCAGCAGCCGGAAGGTCCGCAGCACCGATAGCCCACCATCCGCTTGCCCAATGATCTCCCAGACGCTGCAGGTGAGCCAAGGATCAGGTGGGCCTTTCTCTGGCCACGTGTCCCTGTGCGCACCCTGACCCTGGGATGCCCTCTTCCCAACAACGGGAACAGAGCCCAGGAGCCACTGTGGCCTTTGCTCAACTCCATGTGGGAAGCAGGTTGGGCTGAGGGATGGAGGCCACATCTCTGAAGCCCCCAATCAGCTGCCATCCCTGGTGGTTGCCCGACCCGCAGCAGCTGCCAGAACCTTGGTGCTGGCCTAGTCAGTAGCTCCTCAATTAAGGGCCTTTCCCAATCCTGTGTCTTTTAAGCTATGCCTGGCTTGTCTATTCTCATTAGGGTGGGGGAATCCCTTGACTCCTGAGGGCCCTGCTTCTTCCTGGAGGAGGGAATTCCCCAAGATTATCCTGTTCTTTCTGTGTTGATTTTGCTCCAGCAGATGCCCTGGGGCAAGCTGGCCTTCCTCGCAGGGGCTGAGCCCTCAGTGGAGTCCAGACTCCAGATGAAAGCCTGCCGAGCGCCCACTCTGTTCCTGCAGGGAACAGCTCCACCGGATCCTAGAAACATCCATCTGAGATGCGCTGACCTACCTGTGTGTAACCGACAGTGCCCGTGGGGAGGGGCAGGGGGCCCTGCTCAAGACATTCCCCTTTTGCTTGTCATGAAATGCTCCTGGCAGGGCCTCATCCACTGGCTGAGGCTGTTGCCTGAGGCTGGAGCCTCTCAGGCCCCTGTGGGCTGAGCAGGAGGTGGGGACCCACCTGATAACGACAATAATGCCATCGAAGATGTTGTAGGGGTTCCGGATGTAGCCCACTGGGCCGCAGGCCAGCAGCTTTAGCAGCATCTCCAGGGCAAACATGCTTGTGAACACAATGTTGCTGATCTCCAAGGCGTTGGTCAGCTCGTCAGGCTGGGGGCGGCAGAGGGGCTGTCAGGGCCTGCCCATGGTTCCCACTACTCCCTGAGAGCGGAGGGATACTGCCTGCGTGGTCTAGGAGCAGGGAAGGCTACATCGAGGGGCCAAGGGGCAGTGGCAGCATCTCAGAAGGAGCCCACTTGGCTGCCATCTGGAGGAGGAAAGCAGGACCGCAGGGTACTCCCTCCAGCTGGGCCCAGGCCTGCCTGTATCTCCTGACTGTCCCTGACTTCCCCCCAGCCCTGCCCGATCTCCCCACCACCATGTCTGAGAACCAGGGTTCTGGAGACTTCCAAGACTTCCCAAGCGCAGGCCACGGGAACAGGGCCAGGAGCATCTGCACCAAGGATCCAGGGTGGGTGTGGGGGTGCACAGGGTGTGGACAACATGGCTGCTGACTCTGAACAGCTGCCCTGACCCCTAGTGGCCTTGCACACCCCTCCTTGTTGGCAGAAGGCCTAGAGGCCTCTTACTGGGGATGTGCTGGCCTGTGTGTGTGTGCACCTGCACATGTGTATACATGTGCACACCTGCACCAGCATAAATGCTTGCATGTATGTGCACATGTGTGCCAGTCTGTGGCCTGCTTGGGTGCACATGTGAGTTTCCGCCCGCACCCGTGCATGTAGCTGTATGTGCTATGTGTGTGCACAGCCACCTATGTGTGCATGTGCACATGAATCCACATCTGCACAGATAAACTTTATGTGCATACATGTGTGCACCTGTGTTTGTGCTCCTGTACGCACATGTATGCAATCAGGTATATGTGTGCACATTCAAGGGTGTGTACGTGTGTACGTTCAAGGGTGTGTATGCGTGTGTGTGTGCGCACACACACGCATACACGCGCAGAGGCTTTTCCTTGCCAAGGAGTCCTTCATGGCCTGTTGCTGTCTCTGCCTTGGATCTCACCCTCACAAAGAGAACCTCTCTGCCGGGGCCTGCTGGTGGCTAACACTGCTTGGGTTTGTCCCTAAATTGCTCCAGGATGAAAGAACACAGCTGAAGTGACTTGAAAAGCCCAGAGGGCGGAAGACGAGGAAGTCAATTTAGTCGATAAAAGTGAACTGGCCTCTCTCCCCAGAGAGGGCTCCCTCTCCCTGCCTGACCCGGCCGCTGCTCATCTCTGCCAAGGCTCCAGTGCTGGGCTGAGGCTGGAGTGGACCAGTGTGCAGGGTAGGGTCTAGGCATCAGGCAACTGGGGGGCCAGGCATCAACCCCACAATTCCTCCTCTGAAGACCGTTCTACACCACTGGCCTCTTGTAGCCACCTGAGGGCACCCCAGGGGGAATAGCCGGTAGGTCTGGCTCATGTAAGGGGGGGGCCTCTCCCTGCAAGAGCTGGGCTGTGGAGATCCCATCCTGAGAAGAGCACTGAATGGCCCAATGAGCACTTAGGCCCCCTGCTGCTCCTGGGTCTGTGATTTCAACCCTCTACCCAAGATGGGAGGACCCCCGGCTGGGAGCCATGGTTTCTCTGGTCACCACTCATCAGAGGGTGGGCCAAGGATAAGTATTAGTGTTTGCTGAGTGACCAATAAAAATTCCCACAACAGCCAACATCCAACTCCCAGGCCATCCCTGTTCCCCTATCCCCACAAACCCCTCTGTGGGGCCCCGTAAGAAGCTGCATTCCCAAGAAGACACGAGAGATGTGCTCCCGGGGGGTCACTCCAAGGGCCATCCATGCAGCCCACCCACCTGCTCGTGGTACTCGACGCCCATGCTCAGCGTATTGGTGAGGATGGCCACCATGATGCCACGGTTGAAGTACTTGCTGTCCACGATCCTGCGCAGCTTGCCACTGAAGGAGGTCCAGACACGGCCCAACCCACCCAGCTCACCCGCTGCTGCCCGCCGCTGCACCCGCCGCCGTGCCCCACCTGGGCCTGGCGCGTCCACCGCTGGGGATGGCTGCATGGGGTCACGGCGGTCCCCGTGCCGCACATCCTGTGTGAACTCGTAGACCCCATTGCTGTCTGAGTCTCCGCTGTCTGAGTCACTGAATTCCAGCTCCGGGTCCTCCAGGGCGCTGGTGCAGTATGGGCAGTTGCTCAGCTCACAGGTCAGTGTGCCCGCCTGGGGGCTGGGCAGGGGACAGGGCACGCTCAGGCCCGACAGGCGGCTGGGGGCCTGGCCCAGTCCTGCGGGGAGAAGGACACGGGGAGGCTCAGGCTGCTCAGCTGTTACACCAGGCGCCTGGGGTCCACACACATGTGGAGACTGACGTGGGGTGTCCACCTGCACACCTGGGCACACGCACAGCCTGCACAGGGGCTCTCTGTTCACACTCCGGGGCAGGGACACAAATAGGCAGAGAAGCTTATCCACCTGGGGCCACGCCATTCACAGAAGAATAACACAAGCCACTTTCTAGCAGCCATGTTAAACAGGTGAAGGAAACGTGAACATTCCAGCACAGGATGCACTTGAGCCATCATCACTCAGTTACCACCTCCCAGTGCCAAGTCTCTGGGGCCTGGGTGACTCTGCACAGTGGCGGCTTGGACTTGCCACAGTCAGGGGCCCTGTGAGGCCAAGCTGCCTCAGCACACACACACTGTGACACACTTGCTTGCACACCTCAGGCACAGCACGTAGGATGTACACAGCGGTCCAGGCACACATACCCCTACACACCTGCACACATCACCTGGGAGGGCCTCGGTCTGTGTGGGGCCCAGACATCTGGGGGTTGCGCTGTCCTGCCTGACCCAGCTGGGAGGACCGAGTGTACTGGAGGGCACCCTAGCCCCACTCTCCTCGACCCTTGGGGGATCTGTGACCTTGGCTTTTCCTCCCTACCACCCCAGCCTGTCTCCCCACCTGTAAAAGGGGCCAGCCACACCCCCAGAGAAGCAACCAGGCTGTGGACATGGGCAGAGGGCCCCTCTCGGTGGGGGCACTGGGACACAGTCCTGGGGGGTTGGGTGGCTTTCCTTTGCCAGCCTCAGAATTCCCATTTCTACGTGGCAAATGCTCCTGCCCCACTGAGCTGTCAGCTCTTAAGGACTATGGGCTGGACAGAAACAGTTGCCTTCAGAAGTACCCAGAAGTATCCAGACCCTCCCCCTCTCTTCTTCCCTTCATCCAGGGCTCGAGAGGGGAAAGCTGGGCTCAGGATGGTACCCACACAAGCGAGGATGTCCCCGGAGCGCCGCCCCCACTCCCATTGCTCTCCACAGGGCGGGGTCCTTACCATGCTCCCCAACCAGGTGCTGGAGCTTCTCGCAGGGATCAGGGCTGCTTAGGCTCAGGGGGCTGTGCCCCCCAGCTCCCAGCGGCCCGCTGGACTGCTTCCCCTTGCTGCCGCCTGCAGCTGAAGGCAGGATGGTGGGGTAGTTCATGGCGCCCATCCCAGTGGCCAGCTTGAGGCTGGCAGCAGTGGTGGCCGCGGCGTGTGCCACCCTGGCCCTCTCCTGTGGCCCTTCCACATGACAGTCTGCATGGTACACGCTGTGCACTGACTCAGCGTCAGGGGGCCCACGCCCAGGTGAGGGCGGCACTCCAGCCCGCACCAGCCTGGTGTCCCCGGCACCCTCCTCGGGGCCCGGCCGGCGCGGGCTGCCATGGCTGAAGTGGTAGTGGTGGTGGTGGTGGTGGTGGTGATGGTAGACCAGGTGGTGGATGGAGGCGGTGCGCCCACCCGCCCGCCGCGCCCGGCGCCCAGGACCCTGGCCATGCAGTGCACTGCTGGGGTCGACCTTCTTGCACCAGCGACTCTGCCAGCGGGCGTAGAGGCGCAGGCCTCGGCGCTTCACCTTGCGGTAGATGTGGCCCACGTACCGGAGAAGCTCCTCGTAGCAGCTGCCTGGCTCTGAGAAGCTGGCGAGTGTGCTGTCGTTGGACAGGTAGCGGGCCCGCTGCTCCCGCATCAGCTGGTTCTCTCGTTGCTTCGTCTCTGAGAACTGTGTGGCGATCACCACCAGGCACAGGTTGATCATGAAGAAGGAACCCACCTGCGGCAGGCGGGTGGCAGTGAGCCTCCAGGCAACCCGCCCACAGCTCACTCACCCGGCGTGTGCCCCAAAGAGCTGAAGAAGGGGGACACGGAGACCCACCGCCTTGGGTATCAGCGTTGGGTGGGGCAGGAGGCCAGGCCAGCAGCTGTGATTTCCACACAAGAGAGCTGAAGTCCCTGATGGGGGACATACTGAGATCTACCGTGCACTGCTCAGTCTCAGGGCCAGGGACACAGCCAAGTGTGGCTGGTGGGGGCACCCTGTGAGGGGGGTGTCCCTGCTGATTTGAGGCTGGGCCCCAACACTGGGGATGGGTGGTGTGAGGTGGTGTCTCTTGCCTATTTGTGGACAGCTGCAGGACACAAGGGGAGACCCTCCTTGCAACATCTGGGTGGTTTGTCCCCTTCTTCAGATCCGTCACCAACCAGACCTTCCCACCCAGGTCAAGCCTTCTCCAATCCCCACGGCTTCACTGTCCTCAGTGACACTCTCCTCTGCTTGTGCTTATGGTCTGAGATAAGGAGGGGCAGCTGCCTGGTTCAACTCACTGCTGGTCCTTGTAGACCCTGCCCCAGACACTGCAGGGCCACTGAGAGAACCAAGTGAGGGCCACACCTGGAGGTCACATGCACTGTGGATGTCTGTGCCTGAGAGAAACACTTATACTGTAGAGGAATGTGCCTGGGCACCTGTGTACACTGGAGGGGTAGGACACCAAGAGGTGGTCCTGACTCTCCTGCAGCCTCCTAATAGGACCTGGCCATAGCAGGGGCCGAGGGGCCATGTGAGGCCTCTCTCCCCTCCCCCTCAACAGGCTTCTGTCCTCCCGGGCCTGCCCATTTCCTCCCTTTGGGGCTGGACAGAAGCTCTGTGCTCCACCAAGGGCCCCCATCCCACTTGCCCTGGACTAGACAACCCTGGGCCTCTGCTGTCCCTGCCCATCCCTGTACCTCAGCCAGGCGCAGGAAACCAGGAGGGCCAACAGAGACCAGGACGGAGCAGCACCGGGGGCACGAGCAGATCACACTGGACCCCAGGGGCAGAAGGATATCCACTAACAGGAGCTTGGGGATCTGAGACAGCCTGTCACAAGGTGTAGCGCCTCCACCCTCTCACACCCTTTACCGAGCACATCCCACCCAGCTGCCCGCACTTACGATGATGAGCAGGATGAAGTAGATGAAGTTGTAAAAGGAGTGAGCATCCATGACGTAGTACATGATGTCCACCCAGCCCTCCAGCGTGATCACCTGGGGGGGCAGGCGGCTGGACACACGGACAGCCCTGGGAGGGCAGCGGGGCAAGAAAGCCCTGCCTGGCACCAGCCCCCAGGCCCCGCAGGCTGGGCGCCCGGCGTTAGGGGGGACCCGGAGCCCACCTGGAAGATGGCGATCCAGGCGTAGCCGATGTTGTCAAAGCTGATGGCCCCATTGTGTGGGTTGGAGTCACCAGAGCGGCACACGTTGTAGTACTGGTTCCAATTGATGCAGGTGTGATGGCCGGCGCCACCTGTGCCCTCGGCCTGCGGCTGCCCATAGGCCTCCCAGCCCAGCGTGCACTCCACGCGCAGCTCACGGCGACTGGGGATGTGCGAGCACTTCTGCATGCCGTTGTCCCGGCGGGAGGAGCAGATGAAAGGGTTCTCCTCGCCCTCCTCCGGCTGGTAGTATGGCCGCAGGAAGCTGAGGTTACTGTTTCTGGGGGCACCAAGATGGAGAGACAGAGAGACACATAGAGATGGAAATGGAGATATAGAGACAAACAGAGAAACACAGAGAAGCAGACACAGAAACAGACGTAAAAACAAAAGGTAAAAAAGATCCAAGCTCAGTAGTGCTAGCGAAGCTCCAGGAAGAGCATGCCCCTGGAGCCCAGCCTGGAGGAGCCTGGAGAGGAGGAACCTGTTGGGGTGGGGCTGGAGGGGAGGAGATTGCTGGGGGCAGGAGGCCAGAGAGATGTGTTAGGGGAGTGGCCTGCTGGGTGGGCGGGGCCTGTGCACCTGGCGAAGGTGCTGTCCAGAAAGCAGCGGTTGCGCAGCAGGCCAGCCCAAAGCTGGACTCCCACGATGCCGAAGATGAAGAAGACAAAGAAGCAGAGCAGGAGAACGTTCCCGAGCATGGGGAGTGTGTCCAGCAGCAGCGTGACCAGGATCCGCATGCCTGCAGGTGGCAGAGCAGCTGGTCAGCATGGCAGAACACTCCTGGGGAATCCCTGAAACCCCCAGTTCCCCCTGGGAACCCTAAGCCACACCCCTCCCCACCCCCTGCCGTTCACAGAGGGGTATCGGTGCCTCTGCAGGAGATCTGCACCTGGCCCCTCCATGTCCAACAGGCCCCAAGAGACAGACACCTGTGGGTCAGACCCCACAGAGGGGAGCAAGGCCTCAGCCTGGAGAGTGTCAGGGAGGGCAGTCCCTGCTCCTCGCAGATGCTGTCCAGGACCACACTGCATACAGGCAGGCCCCTAGGGTGATTGGCCCAGATGCCTCGGGGCCCCAGGCTCCATCATGGGAGCAGCAGCCTCAGGGACCACCAGCAGCTAAGGCTTCAGCTGCCTCTCACACTCAGGAGCCTGGGGGGTCTCGCAACAGGTACAGGGTTCAGGGACCTGCATTTCATTCCATTCTCTGTGAGAATCATGTGGAGCAGAGCCCTGCACTGGAGGGAGGTGGGAGCTGTGTGCACCCCTAGGGCAGGAGACACTTTTGAAGCTCTCATTCTTGGGTGCAATGGGTTGTATGGATGCAAATTAATCCACCGAGTGGACCAGCTGAGCCTCACTTCCCCCTTGCTTGGTCATGGGCCTGCCCCCTCCCCGACCTCGGCAAGATAAGACTCCTTTCTGGAAACAAACAAGGGCCAGGCTAAGGGTGCAGACAGAGCCCTAAACTGCAGGGCAGGTGCCAAGGCTTCATGGAGACCACCTGGGGCTGGCGGATGGCAGAATGGGCCCCTGGGGTCTCAGAGGAGAATCACAGCTGGGAGGGGCACTGAAGTTTCAGAAATACCAGGAGGAAGATTGATCAGGGACAAAAGTCAGTGAGCACTGCCCTGGCCAGACAGCAACAGGCTTAGAAGCCACAGATGGCCCAAGGTTCAGAGTGGACCCCAGGCAGTCAGAGTGAGATACAGCCATGAATATGACCATTTGAGGCTCATCATGAGGTACATGTGGTCCTATCTGGGGGAAGTACCCTGTATGGGACAGGAGCATGTCCCCAGGGGAGACTGTGGGCAGCAATTCTGGCCACTGGAGGCATTTGGCCTGAAAAGGAAGATCTGTCCTGTGACAGAGGTGGTACTGCCACATGATGCTCTGAAAGGGGGCCCAGGTGAGCAGACCGAGTGCACGGTGGTGCCAGGCACAGAGCTGAGAACCACGTGTGACACCTCACCTCACAGCCATCCTTAAAGGGTACCACTAGTGTCCTGCTATCACAGTTGGGGAAACTGAGACTCAGAGAGGTACAGTAATTTGCCCAGGGTCACACATCTGAACCCTGAGGGTAGAGCCAGGTAGTGGGTGGAAGGCAGGCCCAGGGGTCCCAACGCAGCCCCAGAAGGAGGGAGTGTCCCACCCTAGGAGTATGTAACTTTTCAGGAGGGCTGCAGGACCAACCCTGACCACCTGGGTCTGGCTTCAGGGGCCACTAGGACTCAGGCCAGGCCGTCAGAAAGGCAGTGCATACCTACACGGTACATGCAGACCCGCACATACGTGTGTATATATACATGCCTCACAGTTGTGTGGGCACTTCCCCCACCCCCAACCCTCCAGGAAAATTAACAGCTGAATTCAGTTATAGCATTGAACACCATGAAGACACAGGAAATCCCAAACACCCTCTGTGTGGACAGATGACCAGGGTCAGGATGGGCTACTTTCCAACAAGCAGCCACATGACTTCCTGGAAGCTTCTCCATGCTTCCCTGTAGTACTAGATAGACACTTCGGCCGCGCTCGGACTTGAGAATCACTGTGATGGGCCAGACAAGAAAGCCACGAGAGTCTGCACAGCTCCCAGGAATGACTCCAAATGCTGTGCAGATGAGAAGACTAAGGTTCAGAGTGGCCCCTGTCACTCAGCAGCCCCATGGGGAGCCAGGACCCCACACAGCCTGACTTTCCATCATACCCTAACATTGTCCAGGGTTGCTCCATCCTTCCCCCAGAAAGCAGCAGCAAATCCTCAGGTGCCCGTGGTGAGTGGCAGGAGGCCAGCCTCTCCTGCCCCAACACCATATGATGCCATACAGGCAGTGTGGCCTCCTGGTCCTGTGCCCAGGGTGAGGGATTACTTACTGGGCACACGGTTGATGGCGCGGAGGGGCCGCAGCACGCGCACCGTCCGGATGGCTGAGAGGCTCACGTTGTGTCCGTCCAGAGAGTACTCCATCATGCTGGGGTAGGAGCAGAGGAAAGGGGGACTCAGGCTATGGGCATGTGCTCTGGGGTCAGAGCCAGGTCAGCAGGCACATGGTTCTCTCCAAAACACTCTGCCAGCTGAGGCCAGGAGGCCCGGGGCAGATGAGCACGTGCCAGAGGCCTGACCCCCATACTGTGTACTCAGCCATGCTGGGCCCTGAGGCAGAGGGAACACAATCTTGGGACATCACTGGGGGCTCCTCACCACTCATAGGCCACCCCATGCACTCAGAGTCTATCCCGCCGCCCCTGGTGCTGGCACAGGGAGCCCTGGGACAAGTGTCCGCCCCTAGCACCCCACCCCCAGCCATCTCTCAGATCCAGCTCTGCCTGAAGGCACCTCCCCAGCCCTCTTCCTGGGGGACCAAGGGGGTCACTCCCAGGTCTAGGGCTTGTCCACAGCAGGGCAGGCCATACCCCGCCATGACAATGAAGAAGTCCAGCCTGTTCCATGTATCACCCAGGTAGCACTTCTGTCCGAATAGCCCCAGGGCGATCATCTTGATGACCATCTCCACCGCGAAGAATGCGAAGATGAAGTCGTCAAAGGCCTGCAGGAGGCGGGCCTGAGAGGCAGGTCTGCACCCCTCCACTCCCCAGCCCTCATCACCCATGATCAGCCCTGCCCTGCCAGCCCTGCCGGACACCCACCTCCAGGATGCTGCAGCGCTCCGAGCGGCACTCAACATCCTCACAGGGCCGGAACATGCCGAGGGTCACGCAGTTGAGCATGATGACCAGCATACTGACGTGTTCGAACCACGTGGGGCCAGAGTTAAGGGTCCACACGCAGGCGGAGGAGCCCTGGGACCTGCCCCCAGCACCTGGCAAAGCTGCCCCAGGGCCAGGCCCTTGACATCCCCATGCCTGCCCCGTCAGCTGGGCAGTGAGGGACAGACCCGACACCAGTCTCTGGACTCTGCTGCCAACCTCTCGTGTACAGCAGGACCCTGGATGGAGGTCGGCCACTGCCCCCCAACTCCAGTGTACCAAACTACAGTCAGACTCTTGAATGAGCAGCCTCAGGGATGCTGCCCAACCTGGACCCCAATTACCACAGATGTCCACCAACTGTGAAGGCACCATGAGGGTGGCCCCAGAGCCCCCCTCCCTGCAGCCCTGCATGAACCCTCCTGTGACCTCTGACCATGGTGACAGGCAATAAGGGATGTGAACTTTAGCTCAATTCAGTGTCTGGGCCTGGAGGACCAGCAGCCCTACTCTGGGCCTGGATGAAGGGGGACAGGACACGGACAGAGGACTGGTGAGTGAGGACCACCCACCATCACCGCCCCAACCCAAGTCAGTCCTGGGAGTGGAAGCCACTTGCCCGTGAAGAGCCCTGTCCAAGAGACGTCCTGTTGGTAGGAGGACCAGAGGTCCAGCCAGAACCTCAGGGCACGAGGCCAGCAGCGAATGCTGCGTGAACCCAGCATGGGTGTCCCAGCCACACTCGGATGTCGCTGGCTCTCAGGGTGAAAGGCCACCCTTCACCTCAGTGAGCACTCCCAGTCATTCTGGGAGTGGCCACCAGGTGGCACCATGGTTCCACAGAGGCCACGGTGCGGCTGCAGCTTTTGCCCCCTCTGTGGCTATCTCCATGAAGGGGTGCACCCCTGTGCCTGCCCCCAGTGGCTCATCAAGAAATTGGGGGCCCCTATGGTGTCCCAGCCATGTTAGGTATAAAGAAGGGGCCCAGAACCCAGACCAGGCAGGGGGCCCAGAGCTGCCCAAATGGGAGCTAGGCTGTGTGTGGGGGTTCCCTGTTTGGAAGACTGGGGCTTCACCCAAACCCGTGGGTAGAGGCAGGTACCCCTCAAGCCTGAGGGGCATTCCTTGTACCCCACATCAAGAACCTCCCTCATCAGGACCCACATCAATCCCTGAGGCAGATTTTCTGCAGGCTGCCTGCCTGCCCTGGGCTGGGCTGGGCTGGGCTGGGCTGGGCTCAGCTGGAGACAGCAAGGGTGGGAGGGCAGGAGGCCCCCAAAGTCGTGCCCCAAGTCCACGTTCGAGCCGATGTGGGGTGGGCAGGGGAACTTTCTTAAAGTGAGAGAACTCGGCACTCAGGAAACACCTTCCGTCACAGACAGCCATGGGAAATCTGGTGCTGCAACCCCGCAACCCCTACCCAGCCTGGCACCGAGGGGGCTGAGGCAGAGTGACAGGGATGGGGTGCTCACCCTCACAGACTCCTGGTAGGAATTTCAGCTGCAGCACGTCCTGGCTTTGTGACCTGGGGCCTTGGTGCCCCAGTGCCCCCTTCCCTGCACCCTGCTGGGGAGGAGGTGTTTCATGGATTTATGAGATGACGAAAGCACCAGGGCCCCACCTGGCATAAGGCTGTGCCCCATACAGTGGAGATCGGTCCCCAGGACCCTGAGTGCCAGGTCTGTGTTCAGCTGCATGTGGGCACTGGGCTGGGGGGTCCATGCAGCCCCGCCTGCAAAGGGCTTTGATCCCAAGGGCACCTGACACAGCAGAGGCTGTGCCAAAACCAGGGTCAGGGAGGGACAAGGCTGGGGGAGGTTTGGGGCCTCTGTGTTTATACAGGTGGATGGGCTCAGGGAAGAGGGCAGGAGGAAGGCCATGCTGTGTGTATCCCTCCTTCACGGGGCCCTGGCAGCCCGCCCCGCCCAGACCCCCTCCCTCTTCCCCCCTGTAGGGGCAGGGCCAACAGTTGCCGCCCTGCAGCCCCTAGCCCACAGCATGCTGTGCAGTGTGGCACTGGGCCACCGATGTAATTACACATTCCCGCTGAGAGCGCCGTAATTACACTTAATGGGTTCAGCAGTAACAAGTGTCTTTGCTATGATTTGGCAGCAAAAAACAGAAATCAGCGACCTGCTAAGATAGCGAGGAGGGCCTGACTCCCTTGGGCCTGAGATGGGTGGGCCAGGCACATGCGCTCCCCAGGAGCTGGTGGGGTGACTCAGCACAGAGTCAGGGCCTCTTGGGTGCACTAAAGGGTCCCCATGGGTGGGGTTTGGGAAGGAAAAAGCTGCAGCTGAAAGCTGCACCAAACACCCACAGTGCACCTACTGTGTGCCGACCTGTGAGACAGGTGCAGTCTAGGCCCCTCTGCACAGACTGGGGGCTCGGGTAACTTGACTGAGGGGATCAGCGGTCCTGGGCTGTGTCACAGGACACTGAGGCCACACAGAGAAGCCAGAAGCCAGTCCTCAGGCATCAAAGCTCTCCTGGCCCCCTGATGGCCGGCTGCAGCCCCTGGGAACTGCTCACAGTCCCTTTGTCTCCACTGCTGTAAACAGCACCCCCAGAGGAGGGGCTGCGTGGG